CTACCAACGTTGCAAGGATGTGGATCATTCCAAGGGTCGCAGAATCTAGCCAGATGTACATACAAAAGCAGATTGAAGAGTTTATCAGGAGAGTATGAGCCGTGCTGCGCAGAGCTCGCATACAGATGAACCTCCAGGAGCGAATGTCCCTTCAGGACAGGTAATCGGCCTCACAGACTCGAAGTTCCAGACTGATCCTGGTGGACAAGGAAGGCAGTCAGATGAGTTACAGGTGGAAAAGGTTCCGTTTGCGCATCGAGATCATTCTACTGCCCCATAGTCGAAGAAACTGCCTTCGCCACAGATTTTTGGAGTGACAACGCAGTCCAAGGGGCAGTGAGAACCTGATGGGCACACGGCCCCCCACCCCCTTCCTCCTCCTCCTCCTCATCTTCCTCGCCCTCATCCTCATCCTCACCCTCCTCCTCCTCCTCCTCCTCCTCCTCCTCCTCCTCCCGGCCTGCTGCTACTCCTCTCTACCACCTCCCGTCCTTCTCATGTCCATCTCACTCACTCCTCCTCACCTCATCCTACTCGCCTATCCGACGGCGATTCTTCCTCTCCCTTCCTTCCCTCTCCCTCCTCCTCGTCTCGCCTTCATCTTCCCATCTCATCCCCTGCTCCTGCAGGTGGGAAGTTGGAGTAGCGTATGGGAATCCGTCGAATCGTTTCTGGACCCTACTAAGAAAGAGGTAGGAAACGCCTCAACCTCTTTCCAGAACCCTTCAGTTTTCTCCTTCTCCCTCATCTCCCTCTTCTCCTCCTTCTCATCCTGCTCTTGCTCCTGCTCCTGCTCCTGCTCCTGCTCCTGCTCCTGCTCCTGCTCCTGCTCCTGCTCCTGCTCTTGCTCCTGCTCTTGGTCCTTCTGCTCCTGCTCCTGCTCCTGCTCCTGCTCCTCTGACCTCCCCTCTGACCTTCCCTTTCTATCATCATCCACCTTCTTTCTCTTCCTCTCCGGCGTCTCATCTTATCGATGTCAGTGAGATCTTACCTTCCAAATGGCGAGAGGACGACCAACTCTGGCGGATCAACAACATGATGCCACACGAGCTTGGTGAATCGCCCGCTGCTGCTGCTCCTCGTCCTCGTCCTCGTCCTCGTCCTCTTCCTCTTCCTCTTCCTCTTCCTCTTCCTCTTCCTCTCCCTCTTCCTCTTCTTCCTCCTCCTTTTGTTCTTCCTGCTGCCTCTTGAGATGTTTTGATGGTCATATATCCTTCTCCAATCTCATCTCTTCCTGATCTTATTGTTTCTTCACAGGGATTGGAATTTCAGACATCGGTTGCTTTCCTGGTAACCTGCTAAAATGCTGCTGTTCCTCCTCCTCCTCCTCCTCTTCTTCCTCCTCCTCCTCCTCCTCCTCCTCCTCCTCCTCCTCCTCCTCCTCCTCCTCCTCCTCCTCCTCCTCCTCCTCCTCCTCCTCCTCTTCTCCTGAATGCCTGCGACAGGAAGCGATGCTGCCGAATTTGGGCACGACGTTATGCTGCAGTGGAGGGAGGTGCGATGCTTGTGATGATGATGATGACGATGATAATGACGATGATGATGACGATGATGATGACGATGACGACGGTAACGACTACGATAATGATAAGAGTAATGATTACAATGATTATAACGAGAGGGTGAGGAGGAGGAAGAGGGATTGAACGTGTGTTTAAGGACTTCTACAAGAGGGCGAGAGCACATCTCCACCGATGTTGCAGTGTGCTCAAGAATGGCGAGGAAAACAAGAAGAGGAAGAAGAACAATGAAAGAGTCAAGGAGGAGGAGGAGGAGGAGCATCGGCAGGAGGAATTCTCCGCAGATGAATTGGATCGCATGGCCCCAAGGATTGTCGCCTTCACTGGCAAGCGTCACTACTCGATGCTCTTTCAACCTCAGCTGAAGAAAGTCGATAGCTATGGCAAGCAGGTGACAAAACAGCCTCGTCGTCGCCTCTTCCTTTCTATCCCCTTCTCCTCTCGCCCCTCCTCCTCGTTTTTCCTTCCCTCCTCGCTATCTCTTTACCTTCCTCCTCCCCTTACTCTCTTCCCTCCTTCCCTATGCTCTACCTTCTCTCTCTCCCCCTCCCCCTCTTTGTTTCTTCTCCCCCCATTCCTGACGGTCTCACGACAGGATCTTCTCCCCCCTCGTTGGCCCTTCCCTGCCTCTACTGAGGTATGAAGCTGCTGCTCCCTCCTTCTCTCATGCCCTGCAGGTTTGGATCCTCCCGTCTCCTTCCGGCCGCGCTGCCATGAGCTCTGCTGACCGCGAGGTGAAATGGATGATGATAATGAAAAGATGATGGAGATGGAGATGGAGAAGGGGATGGACAAGGAGACGGAGACGGAGATGGAGATGGAGATGGAGATGGACAGGATGAAGTGAAAATGTAGATGTAACTTTGGACAGAAGTTGGAAGTGGTGATGATTATGTTATGATGACCGTAACACTCAGCGGATTGTCATCGTATGACCATAAATGAGGCGGTTTCACATGTGAATTTACAGGCACCTTATCTCGAACTGAGTCAGAGGCTACTGGAGTTGAAGTCTGAATGAAGTGAAGAGACAGGCATCAATCAATTTTCTTGTGGTACTCAAGACATCTTCTATTCGGTCTGGTTAAATCGTACCATCCCATCCTTTCCTCCTCTCCTCTCCTCTCCCCTCCCCTCCCCTCCCCTCCCCTCCCCTCTCCTCTCCTCTCCTCTCTCCCCTCCACTCTTTCATGTCATTGCTGCAATCGCCTTGTCAAACTCATCCTACACCATCGTTGTCAGCACGCAACCATAGAAGAGCAATCATCACCCGCGAGATAAACCCGTCTGAATTGACGTCGATCTTGTTCATCAGATTTGTGACTTCCTTGGAAGAGACTGTTCGCTGATAGCAGAGACAAGTGAGTTGAAGAAAGAAAGGCAGGAGGGTGGATATGAAGGCAAAAGAGGCTCGAAGTGGGAGGATGGGGGCAAGACGAAGAGGGGAGGCGAGGGGAGGCGAGGGGAGGCGAGGAGAGGCGAGGAGGGGGGTGGAAAGGGAGGAGAGGGGAGGGGAGGAGGATGAGAGGGAGAGCAGAGAAGGTGGAGGATGAGGAGGTAGAGGATTCATAACCTTCAACCGCATCTGCATCGCCGTCTTCACTTCCTCAGGGCTCAGTTGACCGTCGGCATCGAGATCCAGGTCCTGCTTGCCATTCTCATACCCCATCCCAATTATTGCCCGTTTTCGTGAAACCCGGTAACGTTCATACCAATCTCAATCCACAACCATTCCGATAATACCCCATCTTCATCACACCCATTCCGTTCATAGCCCATCACATCAGAGTAAGAATCGTTACACAGTCACCCACGTGAAACGCTCCCAGCTGGCTCAGAATGATCTTAGCGCAGCAGTCGATGATGATGTCTTTAGCAGGTCGCCCAGCCTGTTCCTCTCACGTCACCCGCGAACAGCATTAGCCAGCTCACCTCGTCGAAGACAAAGTCAAGCTTTGGGTTCGCATTGCACCAGTCCATCAGTGGCTGGTTCTTGTTCATTCCCTGGAGGGACAGAACTAGTATGCCGATGTCTGCGGGGAATTGAGCAGATGCAGAACTCTTGGTACACCTTACTGTATTCCTTATTGAGATCCAACGGAGCAGAATTGACATGGGTAATACTCCTTGTCTCCTCATCCCATGTGAATCCCTGACGGAACAACAATGTCATTCGAAATGAGAGAAGGAAGAAGCGATGAAAGCGCAACAATGTCATTCGAAATGTCAGAAGGAAGAAGGGATGACTGAAGGCAGGAGGATTGGTAACTGTACATCAAGGAGCACGGAGCAAATGGATGATGCAGTGATGGCCAAGGAGGAGGAGGAGGACGAGGAGGTGGAAAAAAGGGAGGGCGGAAAAACAGGAGGAAACAGAAGAGGAGATGGTCAAAATTGGTGGATGAAAATCAGCAGTAGCAGGAGGAGCTAAATCAGTATCTCTCACATCATCAAGCTGCATAAATCCTCCCCAGTCTTCTGGAACTTCGAAGTACGCTCGTTTGCGTGAGAATTGAATTGCGTCTGCTAGGATTTGACCTGAGAAGTTTGATCAGGGAGGAGTCAACGATCCCTGCCGATATCACCAGGGATGCTGACGACAACTATCTCGCTAGAGAAGGGGACTTCTTTCTTCAGATCTCCTGCAAACTCAGACGGTTACGATGGGGTTTGAGGTGGTGAAGGAGCAAGTGAGCTATACCCCAGGTAAAAACGCTGTACCCCTCAGGATATTCAAAGTTCCTCCGTATCGCACCTGGACAAGCGTGTAAGGGTTGAGGGGAGCGGGTCATTCAAAGTTTCTGACCCGCGTCCATCATTACGCCTTCACAGGCCTCCTTGTTCCCGGCTGTCTGCCTGAGCCTGTCCCAACAGCCTAGTGAGTCGTAAACAAGCGAGCAAAGATCCGTCATCACCCGTCGCGGACCAGTGACGTCAACAGAGTTCCGACAGTGGTTTGCGATCTTCTGATCTGAGTGGATTTGAGGGAGATGCCCTGGTAGGGGTCAGACAAGACGTGGTGGTTCCAACTCAGGACAGTCGATACCGGATCGATCTCGCACAAGTAAGCCGACTCAATCTCCTCTAGCGGTCTATTGTGCTCGTGCATGATCTACAGAACAGACACCCCACGTCAGCGGGACCTTGTGACCTCGCTCACTTCCCCTCACCTTCACCAACTCTTGATTGGCATGATATTCCGTGCACTTCACCAGGTCCACTTTGATCTTCGGGCTCTCTCCCGGCGTCTCCCCGCTCTCCCACAAGATGTCCACGATCGCCGCATTCTCCGCGTCCATCCCCGTCTTCACGATCGTACACCCCTCGATCGTCTCGATGTACGGATCGTGGTCGTGCGCTGCTATCAGCAGCGGGAAGCCCATCTTCAGCCTCGCCATCTCCCGGTCCTCTGCCATCACCTGGTGCGTCATCGGGATCACCACGTCGCACCCCTCCTCCTCCAGCAGCTTCTTCCGCAGCCTCGCCGCCGTCTCGTACACCGGCTCTGCCGTCTCCATCGCTCCCCCGAAAGCCCCCTTCTGGTACAGGTTCTTGTCGATGGTCAGTAGCCCGATGATCCCAACCCGTCGCGTCTGCCCGCCCGCCTTGACCTCGATGACGTCATACTCCGGCAGTGAGGGCTGGAAGTCTCGCATGTTGCTGTTGATCCACTTCCCCTTGTACTCCTGGATCCGCTCCCGCAGGTCGCTCACAGGGATGTCCGTCTCGTGGTTGCCGAAGCACACGTACTGTACGCCGCATCCGCCGACGCGGTTGAGCATGTCCATCATGCCCTTGCCCTTGTCGAGGCTGGAGAGGAGGCTTGGGGCGAGGAAGTCGCCGGGGAGCATGACGATGGTGTTGGGGATCTGGTGTTCACGAATGACTGAGTCAAAGTGAGGCAGGTTCTTGAGCTCGTACACGTCGTTGATGCAAATGATTCTGAGGGAGCAAGAATCCGAATGGAGTTTGAAGCTGTTCATCTGTTTGAAGAATCTCACAAAGTTGGAGAACTCGTTTGAGTCGATCATCCCATCGCTGTTCTCGTCTACAACTTTCATCACGTTGTCTACAACGATCTCAGGAAGGTTCTCATTGCCCAGCACTTGCGCCAACTTCCTTCTCACCTCTTTACGATCGATGAAACCTGATTTGTCTGCATCCAATGAGTCCCAGTCCGCAAGCTGCTCCCATATCATCGTAGAGCACATCTTCACCACTAGCTCCTTAGCTGGACGGAGCTGCTCTTTGTGAGGTATCTTATCAGCGTTGGCGTTAGCCCAGTCGATGATAGGCTGGTTTCGATTCATTCCTTTGATCGACAGTTCCAGCAAACCGACATGGTAAACTTTGTCGGCTGAGAACGGTTCTCCATTCACCTTCTGGAGTTGCTCGTTGTTGTCGTCCCATTCCATCCCATCGTCGATCTGCAAGTAACCTCCCCAATCCTGCGGCGGGTCATACTTGCTCCTGGCTCGAGAAGCCTTGATGATTTCCTGGAGGATACTTCCCTGGATAGGAACCACAAATATCTCCGAGTCAAACGGAACCTCTTTCTTGAGATCGCCGTAAGTAAAATGCTCTGCAGACCCATACTCGTAGTTGCGACGAATGCATCCGGCATCCAATGCAACTGCATCACAACCCAGAGCGTCCCTGCACAACGAAGTGATCAGAGTACCGACTGTCGTCTGAGATCTCCGGATTCCAGTGGAGGCGAATGGTTTCAGGTTTTCAGGAATGATGCACAAGAACGCATTCTCAAGCTCCTCCACGACCCGATTGTGATGCCTGGCCACTTCAACAAGCTCCTCATTAGAAATGTAGTCGTCGCATCTGACAAGGTCCACTTTGATCTTCGGGCTCTCTCCCGGCGTCTCCCCGCTCTCCCACAAGATGTCCACGATCGCCGCATTCTCCGCGTCCATCCCCGTCTTCACGATCGTACACCCCTCGATCGTCTCGATGTAAGGATCGTGGTCGTGCGCTGCTATCAGCAGCGGGAAGCCCATCTTCAGCCTCGCCATCTCCCGGTCCTCTGCCATCACCTGGTGCGTCATCGGGATCACCACGTCGCACCCCTCCTCCTCCAGCAGCTTCTTCCGCAGCCTCGCCGCCGTCTCGTACACCGGCTCTGCCGTCTCCATCGCTCCCCCGAAAGCCCCCTTCTGGTACAGGTTCTTGTCGATGGTCAGTAGCCCGATGATCCCAACCCGTCGCGTCTGCCCGCCCGCCTTGACCTCGATGACGTCATACTCCGGCAGTGAGGGCTGGAAGTCTCGCATGTTGCTGTTGATCCACTTCCCCTTGTACTCCTGGATCCGCTCCCGCAGGTCGCTCACAGGGATGTCCGTCTCGTGGTTGCCGAAGCACACGTACTGTACGCCGCATCCGCCGACGCGGTTGAGCATGTCCATCATGCCCTTGCCCTTGTCGAGGCTGGAGAGGAGGCTTGGGGCGAGGAAGTCGCCGGGGAGCATGACGATGGTGTTGGGGATGTAATGATGTCTTATCACCGAGTCGAACTGTGGCAGGTTCTTGAGCTCGTACACATCATTGACAAAGATGATTCGAAGCCAGCAACCAGAAAGGGGTGCCTCATCGCACACAGAAACGATATTCTTCTTGTAGCTGATTCCTTGGGCGGCCCTCTCCATGGAGTAGGAATGAATGTCCTGCCTCGAAGTGGTAGAAACGTTGGTCTCTTTTGACAACCGCCTCCTTGAAGATTTCGCAAACTCAACTTTCGTTTCCAGTCGATCGATAAGAGACTTCATCGCCTCGATGTCCTGCTTCAGTTTGTCGTTCTCGAGAAGAATCTCTGCCTTGTCCGTATCTTCAATGTCATCGTTCGCACTGTTAAGCTCCGCAAGGAGAGACAAGAAATCCGTTGGATGCACATCCTCCTGCGGTTTCGGGAGGTTTGCTTGGACGCCCATCGATTCATTCACGGCCTCCTCCAGTTTGGAATTCGCTTCCATTTTCCAATGATTCAAAGCAAATGGCGATACATTCTTCCCTGCCTCTCTGCGACTGAAGTGCCTTGTGACTTTTCCTTTCGCCCCAGAGCTCTCGATGTACAACTTAAGGTAGCACATCTCCTTGGATCGCTCCATCTCCTCGCCAACGGCTTCTTTCTGATCGCTCACGACCCCCATCATCTCAGCTAAACGGTCACGCAAGAATTTCTTCGGGTCTTTGGGCCGGTGGAAGGCTAAGTCCTGAGTAAGGTCATAGAACAAGTCCTTCAGCCCGTGCTGATCAAAATACGTTTCCATGTCTGTCCGGAAAGTTTTGGGTGACGACATCTTGCCAACGCAAGCTCTTTCTCGGAAATGTGCCGATGATAACGACAAGCACACACACGTATCAAGACAAAGGAAAAGGCAAAAAGAGAAGAGTGGGCTGTTCACCAATTTTCAAGCCTGGGATCAGGGAACCCTGCTTGCCTGCAAGGCATAATTTCAGTTCCAACATGCATCCACATGTAGCCTCTCCTCAGAACCATCACTCGGCATGCAAGCACAACAAGAATGCATCCACATCCACATCCACATCCACATCCACATCCACATCCACATCCACATCCACATCCACATCCACATCCACATCCACATCCACATCCACATCTACATCTACATCTACATCTACATCTACATCTACATCTACATCTACATCTACATCGGCTATGATTTTGGTGGATGCAGAAGATGATTTACAGAACAATCTACATATTCATGACGTAGATGATTATGTTTCTCCTCGTTACACTTGTGACGCATGTGCATAAGGCGCAACTTCAGTTGGCGCCATGCCTTACCACCACTAGTCACTGCCCACCCCATCACCCCCTACCTGGTATTTTACCGTTTACTACCCCCATTTAGCCCACAGAGACTCCCAAAATATCGATACCACCGGTCCATGTCCGATTCCTCCACAAACTATTCACTGACCACAACCCCTCTTTCTGATATCTGAACCACCCCTACAAAATAACCCCTACCCCCTATTTAAAAGAGGAAGTACCCCTATACAGATAAGACCCTCATTGAGGATTTTGTCCCCTCATCCCCACCACAATTGGTTCCCTCATCCCCTCACATAAAATGTTCCCTCATACCCCGACCACAGATTGCCTTCTAGAATGTAATAGTATCATTTGAAATTTTGTCACGAATATCAATCTAGGATAGTTTGAAATTTAAAAATTTCCCTTGGTCCTAGTGGCCTATAAAATTTTCCTACTACCCTCATTCCTATCATATACAGCTTTGGTCCTAGAGTTTGTCCAATGGAGAGGATATGAAGTGGTACTAGAAAGGGTCATATCGATTGTCGTATCCTTGGTCATAGTCAGGGCATAGGTGTCGTAGCACCCCACGGCCCCCCCACCAACTATGGCGGTGAGAACGATGGCGGAAGGGATTAAGTGAAGATGCAATGAGCGGAAGTATCATGCCAGGATGAGATTCTTGACAGAGAATCATGCTGTTTTGTTGTTTCTGCCTTCTTTGGTGCAATTTTCTGTATTTTTGGCCATGTTATGTTGAATGTGAGAAATATGATGAGTTATTTCGAACGGGGCACATGGCGCAAGGATTTCTACATGTTCGTAATTGTACTGTAGCATTCTGATATGCTTGATTGGTTTTTGTGATGAGTTCGAACAAGTTGAAACATTGCAAACGAACCCCACATCGGCGAAAGCAATGTTGTTGCCGTTTACTTGTTTCTTCTGAAAGCACAATGCATCGATGGACTGTTGTTGAGTTTGTTTCGATTTCATGTGCAAACCGTATCAGCTCAAGACTGAAAACAAGAATGCAGAAGATTGTTGGAGCTCTCTTCCTGTGCATGCTCGCCACAGCGTGTGGTTTCCAGATGGGAACCATGTCAACCATGCGCGTGATGAAGGTACACTCCTGCATGGCGCGAACTTGGTCAGGGTGACAGGGAGCAGGCATCGTCGATCTCTTCTAGAGGAAGCATGTGGATCGGTGCTCCTGTGCTGCGCAGCCCGACCTCGAACGTGGCGAACCGGTGAGGATATACATGACAGAGATCTCTCGTCCTGCTCCTGATAGTGCGCGAGACCTGTGATCCTCTCGGCCGCGGCTGTTCCCCCATCCGTGTCTCTTGCTCATGTCACTCGATGTTGACCTGCTGCTCCTCAGGCGAAGCGCTCCCTTGTCCAACCTCAACATGGGTCTCTTCGGGCTCGGATGGGGAGAGCTTGCAGTGAGTAGACGTGTGGGGGGGGGCCGGGAGGGACAAGGAGGAAGCTGAGGGGAGATGGTCAGGTTATTGGCGTGATCGCTGCTCTCATCTTTGGACCGAAGAATCTTGCGGGACTTGGAAAGGATCTTGGAAAGATTGCAGGCAGTCTCAAGGCTGAGGTGAGGACGATGCAGCGGCAACGCGCTGGAGTGATGACGTGGCGCTTGCAGGCTCAGACCTTCTCCTCCGCCATGCAGGAGAGCCTTGAGGAGGCTGAGAAGGGGATGAAGGAGGCTGAGACCCAGGTAGGCTGTTCTCGTTGGAGCTGCAACTGGCTGCAACTGACCCGTTACTTGGCAGGTTACCAAGCCGGCGACTCCCAAGGCAAGCTGATGTCTATTCGGTGCCAAAGTTCTGATGGGATTGAGCAGGAGGCCCCCTCCAAGCCCACCAAGAAGATTGACCTGACCGACGAATAGATTTCTTTCCCCCCTCTCTCCACATGACATGTTTCTAGCGCGAAGCAATAAAGTTGTGTAAAACGCGTTTGCGCGAGCAGCGATGATATTAAAAGTTTGAAGATAGTTGTACAATATTAACAGATGACACATCCTGATCTTGAACCTCTCTGCAAACCAAGAATGTAAGTTGCGCACCCATTCGACATATGCGTTCACCCTGTTCCTGCTTGATTCGCCTTCTATCTCGTACGTCCTCTAGCCCTTCATCAGCCCAGCAACACTCACAGCAATTGCGTCCCAACCTTGGCATTCTTGCCGTCTAAGAACTCCTGATGACAAGGAAGCATGTCGGGCTCGTCCCAGGCAATCTCGAGCTCAAGTCAGCGCGAGAAGGAGAGCAGGAGGAGAACAAACGAACAATCGAATGAAGCATCTTCCGAAAGTCCTCAAAGTGTACCAGCCTTTGCTGCCCTGCTCCTTTCTCCTGGCGAGACTTCAGAGCAAGTAGACTGCAGCACAGTGCACGTTGTTCATGATCTCGTTCAACTCATCATATGTGAACTCTTCCCCAAGCTCATTCTTTAACACGACCAAATCCTGTAAATGTTCCATGCCTCAGTGCGAGCAGGATCAAGATCGAGGTGTCTACATGCCTGAAAAGTTATGAAGCCTTTGTTTTCCTTGTCTATGTGCTGGAAAATTCGCTTGTCATCTTCGATATTAATTGCATCAATTCTGAAAGCACAAGATAAACGTCAGTTTGAACAAGGAGCCATATGGGCATGATCACTTAGATTCTAATTCTTGTCGATTTTTTCGTATCGTTGACAAAATTTCCCTCATGACAGCAGCCGCACTGAAGTCAAATATCATTTTCCTCGGCGTGACCCGGCATGGAGATGTAATCTCACTCTCCATCCTGATCCCCAACTTCATACTTCTTCTCAAGCTCCAACTTGCGTTCGACAACAGTCAGTCTAACAAGGCACAGCAGTGTTGAGCTGGGATGTATCAAGTATCTTTCTCACATCGCTTCCTTTCTCTTCATGGTCAATCTTTTCTCCAAGTTTCAAGATCCAGACTAAGAACTCCACGAAGTCGATCGACCTGCCCGGCCAGAGTCACTAAGATCTCCTCGCAGGGACAACCTTTCCTGTCGTTCTCAAGGCAGACCGGAAGGTCATCCATGAAAGCATTCATCTCCTCCTGCGATAGTTTGAGAGCTTAACAACTACAACCTTGCTCATGATTCCATTCTAAAATCACCTCTGTGTGATGATATCCAAAGGACTTCATCAATGTTAGAAGATCATGTGTGCTGATCTTTCCGTCCTCGTCCGTGTCTATCAAGCTCCTGCCTCTACCCTTCACGAAGCATGAGGGGAGTACGGCATGCCTCTCACCAGATTTCCCGCAGATGGCTCCATTGTTCACTGTTCAGCCTTGAAGTAGACATCTCTGCTCTGCTTCACGCAGAAAGTCCTTGAAGACTCTGTCACCAGTGTCACCCTACTGATGTCGACGAAACTCCCCTGCATCATAGTTGATCTCTATTCTCAACCCTCATTCTCTAGTTGGTTGCTCCTTCTCGTCAAATCTCTGCTCCTTCCCTCACCTTCCTGCTCCTGCTGCTCCTCCTGCCCCTTCTGCTCCTCCTGCTCCCTCTCTTGCTAAGCCCTGTCGTGCAACTCCTTCTCCTCCTCGTCCTCCTGCCCCTCCTGCTCCCCCTCCTGCTAAGCCAAGTCCTGCACCTCCTGCACCTCCTGCACCTCCTGCATCTCCTGCTCCCCCTGCTCCTCCTGCTCCTCCTGCTCCTCCTGCTCCTCCTGCTCCTCCTGCTCCTCCTGCTCCACCTGCTCCTCCTGCTCCTCCTGCTCCTCCTGCTCCTCCTGCTCCTCCTGCTCCCGCTCGTGCTCTTGCTACTTCATGCTCCAACTGCTCTTTGACCATACACATTGTCGATTTCCCCCGGGTCTACCCCCACCCATCCAATTTCCCTTGCAAACTACCCCACCCGCCGTCCCTCCCTACCCCACAACTCAAGTGAGTCAACTTTCCAGCAGTTTCATTTTGAGTTCCTGCGATCCGACTATGATACGATGCTCTAGTCAGGTATGATATGATGCTCTAGTCAGCTATGATATGATGCTCATATGATGCTCTAGTCAGGTATGATAATGATGCTCTAGTCAGGTATGATATGATGCTCTAGTCAGCTATGATATGATGCTCTAGTCAGGTATGATATGATGCTCTAGTCAGGTATGATAATGATGCTCTAGTCAGGTATGATATGATGCTCTAGTCAGGTATGATAATGATGCTCTAGTCAGGTATGATATGATGGTGTAGTCAGCTATGATATGATGCTCTAGTCAGGTATGATATGATGCTCTAGTCAGCTATGATATGATGCTCTAGTCAGCTATGATATGATGCTCTAGTCAGGTATGATATGACGCTCTAGTCAGGTATGATATGACGCTCTAGTCAGGTATGATATGATGCTCTAGTCAGGTATGATTATGACGCTCTAGTCAGGTATGATATGATGCTCTAGTCAGGTATGATATGATGCTCTAGTCAGGTATGATATGATGCTCTAGTCAGGTATGATATGATGCTCTAGTCAGGTATGATATGATGCTCTAGTCAGGTATGATAATGATGCTCTTGATTCTGTAGTGTTAGAATATACCTTTGTGATGCGATGCGATGTTGATGTATTGCCTTGCGATGTGTCAATAAAAACAGATGAGATGGGACAGGACGGGACGAAAGGAGTTGACCTTAGATGATATGTATGAGAAGGAAAGAAGAATTGATCATATCAGTCAAATAAGTTCGTTGGTTTCTACACAATATCTACACTTCTCCTCTTCGATTGACACCATTCAGGCCTTCACTCTCGGGAAAACAGCAAGGGGGCTCAGTCCCTCTGGGTCCGTGACCACTGGCTGACCCGGCCCCGGCAACGGTGGTTTGAATTTGTTGTTGTGCCTGACACTGAGAGCACGACTTTAAAAATAATTCACAACTGTACAGTATACAAGAACGTCTTACTAACTGACGTGGCAGATGCACACTTCACACTGCACAGACAGGCGATCAGATCTCCCCAACGACTGATCGCACTGATTTGCAGTGTCCAAGTAAATTTGGAGCAACGAACGGTGAAAAAGTCAACAGACTTTGATATCATACGAGTGGACGGCCGAGATGCCTTGACCAACAACTTGACTGAGCTGGACAACATGGTGACAATGAGAGCGTGACAACGCCAGTTACTTAGATACAGACACGGGGCAGCGTGATTTTACTGTGATTAAAGCAAAGACATGTGTAGATCCCTCCCTCCTCTCTCTCTTCACGCCTCCCTCAGTGATTGTCCTGTCATCATAATATTTGCACGGCTTCTTGCAGTAGAAATCCTGACGCGTGGGAGTATGTAGCGTATTTGGATCTCAGATTATAGACACTTGGAGGCGAGTAAAGAGCAGAACCTTCATTATGAGGGGCTGATCTTCGTTTTGGGCGAGAAGGATCCTGCTCATCCTACCTGAACGAGCTCTTGTGCCCTTAGTCGTCGCCTTCCATTGTCACCACGTTGTCTATCTCAGGGGCAACAGTCATGAAAGGTTGATTGACTGAAATGGAAATCGAAGCAAACAAAGTAGGAAAGGGTAAACAACTAATCTGCCTCAACACGAGACCACAAAAAGGAAGAGGCAGCGAAAACTAAACCGCAACTCAAACCACGCGAGGGACAACGAGCAGGCCCTGAGCGTGAAGAATAAAGATACGTACAGGAGGGAGGGAAGTGACATGGAAGCATTGGATGGGACGGGAGGAAGGGAAGAGATCCACAAGGGTTCTATGTCAGTGCGAACGTTGGAAGATGATGAGATGGGCTTGGGGGGGGCAGTTCTATGTGGATATACACCGGAATCGTGATGTCTGTGTGAATGATAAGCGATTCAGATTAGAACAACAAAACCCCCAACTGATCATTATACATCAGCGTTCACCTGCTTGTCTTGCCTGCCGTCCCTTGCGTGGATGGAGTAGCGGTTCTTGCTGCCTTTTCCGTTTTCCTAGTATTTTATTGAGGCGGGTTTGTAGGGTTTATCCTCTTCCTCCTTTGTAAAGCCCTTCTGCTCAGCTGCTGATATCTGCTCTTGAAACTCTTATCCTGTTAGTATGTCATATCTTGACATTTGTTTCTCCTCACACCTCATCTCTTCTCGCCGGCAAGCATCTATAACATGTCGTTAGCAGGTGCATGGCGAAAGCTCTCATGGGGGCCTATGGTTTGTTTTGTGTAATCGGTATTGTTCTTGTTGATCAAAGCATGGTGCAGGGTTGCATCTTCTGATTGCAAGCGGTTGTGTGCTCCTTGTACATGTTGCTGGCAGATTCTCATCTCACGTGGCGCCATTGGTGATTCGAGGGGGTGGAATAGGAGATGCGAACCAGACCCTGCCGATACGCCAAGACCTCCATAACATGAATAGAGAGCAGGTATATGAAAGGCTGTGGCTAGAACAGGACAAGATGAAGAGAGAACGGAAGAAGGTAGAGAAGAAGATAGTTAAAGTAGAACGAGAAATCAGGAATGTTGAGGCAGAGCACAAGGACTTGAAGAAGCAGGTATCGCAACTTCATGACAAGGGGGCCAACAAGAAGTTCATCAAGAAAATAATGCAGGAAATAAAGTACCTTCGAGACAAAGAGTTGCAACTTCGAACGGAAAAGAAGCAACTTCGAACGGAAAAGAAGCAACTTCGAGACAAAGAGTTGCAACTTCGAGATAATGTCAAAGAGAAAAAAAAGAGCCTTTCCTGGTCAGAGACAGATCTGGATCTTAGTCAAGCAGGATACAGTGAGGATCGCAAAATTTTCACCATCGATCGAGCATTACTGAATCCAAGTCCTGGGCCAGCAGGGCAGCTGATGCTCTACTGCAGGGAAAGCTTCAATGAGCAATGGCGTTTCCTTGAGGAGAAGGTATGCAAGGAAGGATATTTGGGTTGGATCCTAGGCCCTCCGGGGACAGGGAAGACGACGACGACGACAAGTTTCCTGCTATGGCAAAGCATGAAAGCGAGTTGGAGGGTGATGTGCGTACGACTCTGGAAGGCGGGTCCTGTCAGCCTGATACAGGTGGTTGACGGGAAAGAAAGAAGGTGCGACTTTTCTTTGAAGAGAGCAGGGGACGAGATAGAGGACTTCCTTGAAGGATGGGGAGGGGTCAGCGAAAAGTACCTTCTGTCCTTGGACGGTTACTTGGAGGGGAGTCCGGAACATGATAATTTGCTCAGTGTCTGC